ATCATTTTTATAAAAATTGGTCCACGAGAAATTCTGTAATTCTTATTTGAATGAAATTTGTGTTTCCTTACTTCAACTGATATTTTTGAGAGAATTCACATATTAACTTTAAATTAAATTTATATAATTAGAATTAACAAAACCTGTTCTATTTAATGGTATATTTATATTTTCTAGATTTCTTTTTATTAATGAGTTATATGTCAATTAGTTTATTTAAAATTATTGAATATTAATTATTTTAGCCAAAATTAATATAACAATATGATCCAGTGCAAAAAGATTGGTACATCAATATAAAATTAATAATTGCTTCTAATAAAAATTTAACTAATCCTTATAATTTTTTTATATTAAATAAAGAATAATCTAAATTAACTTTTTATATTATTTTAATTATTTTATTATATTCTAATTTAATAATAAATGGAGTATTACTTTACTAAAAAAAATTAAAATAAAATTATTTTTTTTAAAAAAAAGATATTTTAAATATTATCACTATCAATTTGCAAGATTAAAACTTTAAATTATGCAAGCAGATTGTTTTAGATTTGATAAATATATATTCTAAATTTTATAAAAATTGAATCAGTAATAATAAAAATATTAAGATTCAAAGATTTACTATATAATTTTTTATATTAATTTTAATCAAATTTTATATAGTAAAATTTAGGAAATAACAATTCAAAAAAGTTTATATTAGTAAAATTTTTTTTATAAAAGATATATGATAAAAATTTTTACATTTAAATAAATTTCAATATCTAATAACTTAATTAATAAGACAGAATTAAAATTTTATTTTGAAAAAATAATCTATTAATATTTATCTAATATAATAATCTTTTTGTATTGGACTATATATTATTTTATAAAATTGATTATTAGAAATTTTTTAATTCTTATTTGAATAAAATTAGTTACTTTTGTATTTATTAAATTCAATTGATATTTTGAAAGAATTTATATATTAATTTTAGATATATTTAATGATATATTTATATTTTTTAGATTTCTTTTCATTAATAAGTTATAAGTTAATTATTTACTATTTCAAATCTATTAAAATATAATATTAAAAATTTATTTTTTATTATTAAAAATAAGTTAATTTAATTTAGTTCTTTTTTAAAACTAGAACTGATTTGAATTTTTTGATTCAGTTTCAAAAAAAAATTAATTTAAGTTTTTTGATTTAGTTTTAGAAGAGAACTGATTTGAAAAAAACTGAATTAGATTAAATCAAAATTTTTGATTCAGTTTAAAGATAAATTATAATTAATTACAATTTGATTATAATTTTCTAATTAGTTATTATAATTAAATTGCAATTTTCTAATTAATTATTATAAATTACAATTAATTAAGATATTATTTTTAGTTTAATTTCAATTTGATTTAGTTTTGAACTGAAAATTTATTTAATTCTGAAATTAACAAAACAAAACTAAATTGAATTAAAAAGAACTAAAAATTTCAATTTAATATTGGTTTTATTTATTTTTAGTTAAATATAATTAATAATATATTCTATATATTTCAAAATTTTCTCTTTTTAATTTTATTAAACTGCTTATTATTACTAGCAAATAATAATAAAATTATAAAATTATAATGAATATTAATAAATATATAAATATATTTATTATCTAAATAAAAGAAAAATCATTATATTTATAAATTAAAATTATATTTTTCAAGTATAAAAATATTAACAATTTCATAAAAAAATATGATAAAATTAATTATTAATAAAGTAAATTTATATATAGAAAAGAAATATTATTTTGAAATTTATTATGAAAATTACTTAAAGAATTTATAAAAAAAATAAAAAATAAATATTTCTAAAATAAAAGTTATTTTTCTTTTCTAATATAATCAAATTTTTCGAAAATAAATTTAAAAATTATGATTATAGCAATTTGATAGCATATTATAAAAATTTAATTATAAATAAATACTTAATGGATATATATATATTCTATATTAAATTTTATAAATATAAAATAAAATAAAAAATGAAGTCAAATATTTATTATTATATCTATTATGAAGAAGATAAAGATTATAATAAATCTTTAGTTCAGAATATTTATAAACTCAATCAAATTCAGAAAATGAATATCTTGCAAAAGAAAATTTCAAATCAATTTATAAAGGATGAGATCACAAATAAATGGAAATGAGAAAGAAAAAGTTATGTTGAAAATATTACAAAATTCAAAAATTATTAAATATACTAATAAAGAATATTTTGAGGGGTTATTTTAATTTGAATCAAGTATATGTTTAGGTGATGGCGTTTGGTGAAATCCACTGTATGAAAATTAACTTGGTTGAAAAATCATGACTTTTATCCTGGAAATTTATTAATAATAAAATACTTTTTCCTTCTAAATAATTATTCTTAAGCCACGACGCTATCGTAATTGGACTTTAAGTTTTGTGATACTAACTAAAGATAGAGAATAAAGATTTTTCTTTTTTTTTATAAATACTTTCAACAAAAATAAAAAAAATATATGAATCACAAAAAAAATAACATTTATTATATATTGTAAGCCACGTAACACATTGATAGTTAATATTTGCGATAAATAATCCTTTCTCGTGATAATTTTTTTGCCAGACTTTTGATTCCGATACGAATACGATATTTATTTAGTTTAGATCATTAACGATATGTTCATTAAAACACAAATTTACATTTAAATCATGATATCCTCTGGTATAATAGAGTTATATCGGAGGTTAATATCCGTTCTAGCCACTATTAGCTTTGCAACTGTTACCTTTATTAGTAAACTAGGGTCATGTTTGGTTATTTTTAAAATACATACGTAACGCGTAATTAATTTGTGTGTGAGGCGTATTTTTATAATTAAAACGTACTAGCAGCAAATAACTGCACTTTTAATATCGATATGATTCCACGACATTGTCGAATTCGATTTTTCGGCTTCCAAATGCTAAGAACTTTTCTTATTTAAAATACACGTATCTAATCAAATCATATTGTGCGTAGTATTTTGTAACTCGCGTCGATAAAAATCAGACAGGTCAATGAGTGAAGATAATTCATTGTTGAATGGTAAGCATCGTATATATGCATACATCGATTATCTGCTACATTATACCGTACATGATACATGGACAAGCAAACAAATAAAGAGAGGTTTGGATATGTTGGATTCAAGATAGATTTTAATAGATCGGTGAAAAAAGATAGAATAATAAAATCCACCAACACACATGGTCAGGTTTTCGTGCCCCTTTGGATTGCGAATCTCAACAGTTTCAGAAGAAATTGGTAAATTATTAATTCGTGTTTTATACAGAAATAAAATTAGATACAGCATAATGAAATTTTCATAGCGCCGAACGGAGATTACCATGAATTATTATTAATTAATTAATTATTATTCTATATCGATATACCCGTGCAGCAATTTCTATTTTAAAAAGAATTACGTGTCATCCGATTTGTTTATCAAGAATAACCTATCAAGCCACCAAATGAAACCTAAAAAATATACCTATTAATGAAATTTAATACTACGACTTTCATCCAGTTTCAGCAGAACAATTGAAGAGGCATTTCTTCTCTTCTTATCTTACTCTTGTTGTTCTTGTTTTTTATCTCTCTCTCTCCGAATTTTTATTGTTTCTCCAAACATATGTAATGCATAAACATTTCTTTCAATGGTTTGTTTTCTTTTCCAAGAAAATACAGGAGAATAGAAAGCGGTACGGTATACATGTATATGCTCTCTAGGTTTTTCGCATAATGAACGTGAAACTTTAAACAGCATGCTAAATTCGGATATTCTCTATTGTGCCAAACCAAGCGCATTGTTAACATTAAATGAATCAGATTTATAAAATATTATTTTGAGATATTTTCAATCTATCAGAATTTTTTTGGTTTAGCCTAATATTTCAGGCGGAGCTTGAAACAAAATAGACGTTTTCCAAAATCACGTATGTCGATACGTGATTTGGCGCAAGATCAAAAACCCCTGAACTTTATATTGCTTATTTAATGATGTCTTTTCGGTCAAAAATTATAGTGATAGCGATAGTATCTAAAATGGTTTGTATTTACCCATAAATGTGAAATAATGAAGTTCCTTATTTTCCTTTTTGAAACTGGTTGATAAATAAGTTTTTTTGCTGCAACATACCGTTTCCGGGACCCTGTAAACGTTATCCCCTATCAATTAATCACATAGCCGCTATTATATATATATTTCTAATTATTAAATTATTAATGAATATTAATAACGCTAAATATTAATAGCATAAGACACTTAATAATACAAAACTATTTTCTTCCCATCACATTTACATTTTCTTTGGGACAACAAAACTAAATAACATTTGAATATAATAAATATATATTATGATATATTCGTAATATAAAAAATATACTGCTTAAATACTTAATTTGGAATTGAATAAATACATATACAATAATAATTATTATAAAATATTAACTTTATTTCCAACAAAAAACATATAAGATATCCAACTCGCTCTCTCTCTCTTTTCTTTTTTCTACAACGACGACTACTGTTACGAAACGAAAGAAAATAAAGTTTTCTCGTTATTATTCGTTCCATCTTCTTAATTAAATAATATCCATAGATATATATATACACAAATATATAAATATATATGTGTGTGTGTATATATTTCTTTATATTTTGTTTTGATTAAAGAATTTTTTTTCTCTTCGAGAAGTTTCTTGGATCATTCAACGTCTGCGTTTTTGATTTAGTCGTGTGTTTTTTTTTTTTTAGTTAATATTGGTTTACAATCACCCAAAACTGTGTTTATATATCATCACGTCTTCATTATTTTTCATATCGCGAAAGGTTGAAAGTCGTAGAATCGATTAAGTACCAAAAGCAACCGATAACAAAGTTTGGAATATCTTTTTTCACTATTAATCACAAGAAACCAAGATATCAATATCATCACTATCAGAAATGGGATTACCAGTGTCAAACCATAAGCGTGTAATCATTCCCACCTACAAAACAACAGACCACGTACCCGAATACTATCTTGATCCTCATAGTGGAGGGTTTATTCCAACGGGATATTTCTTGGATAATTTGGATAGCATCGGACCTCAACACTGGCAAAACTGGTATTCGTCTGACATAACATTACATGTCGTCGGGACGACATATAATGGAAATTACAATCACAATAATAATGTTGGACATTATCGATTTTGCAATAACGCTAATCAAATGAATCAGCTTGGACTCATAAACGATACAATGGTTTCCGAATCTGGATTTGGATCCGAAGAGTCGGATTATGGAGACTATAGCGATGATTCTGATACTATGACGAGCGAAGAAGAGACCGAATCTTTAATTGAGGAATATCCAATATATCAATATAATCATAATAATAATAACAACAACAACAACAACAGCAACAATCATCATCATCATCATCAACACAATGTATATAAATCATCAATTACCCATATCCATTATCAAACATATCACACACATACATTAATACTCGCCACACAATCAGGCTTCTTTAATCGAATACTTGGACCCATCAACAACACAAACCCCTTAAATGAAAAAAGTAATATTACAATAACAGTTCCTCACCCAGAAGTATTTGAGCCTATCCTACACTGGTTGTACCATCATGACGATGACTCATGGCTAGACGAAATGTCTTTGGAGAATTTCCAGCAGATTTACGAGAATGTGAAATATTTAAAATTGGGAAAAGAAGCGTACGATGTATTGGATCAATTCATTTTAGAAGTGGAAGAGACCGGGATTGAAATTAAAATCGACGGAGTCGTGGAATGAAAAAATTGGTGATGGTTAAAATTTGTGTCAATGAAATTCCGTCAAAGTTTTCGATTCCTCATCGATGTTTGTTGTTAAGATCTGGAGATGACAACAGTCGGGAAAAAATTTGATGATGAGTTAAAAGCTTTGGGCGCAAAGATGATCTATACAATACTTATTTGTTGGACTGATTTAGATAACTAAATGAACAATTGTGATCAAGAAAAAAAACAACACGGATAAAATATAAAATACACATAAAAAACCAAATACATAAAATAAATAAAATAACATAATAAAAAATACACCCACATGTGATTCGGTGATTTTTTTAAAAAACTCCACGTACACAAAAACCTTACTTAATCATTATTTTTACTTTTTACTCCTTTAACGTTTAAGTTTTCCTTTCATAATATGATTTAATATTTCTAAGACATTATTATTAACCTTTTTTTTCCTTTTTTATTGCAAAAGATTTTTGTTAAAGAAAAACCTTAAAATAAAATATATTATATACGTACATGTAAATCTTTGTTTATATATATATATATATATATATATATGAATGCCCTTATTTGTATATATTATCATCATAAAAATAAATATTGGTTGTTTAAACAAAATAAAAGCGGATGAACAAAAATATCCAAAGATTGATTGGAGAACTAACCGCATTTCGCTTAATTTCCCCCTCCTTTAAATAACCTTGTTTAGTAAAACAATCCGAATTTCACGTGAGAACATACGCTCAAATGGAAGGATCACGTGGCTGGATTCTTTCAACGATGGTGCACGACATCCAATATGAACTGTAAAGGAATCACCTAAAATATTTATTTTGATTGGCTGAATTTCATCATGCAAATTACACAGTGGCTCTCTTTATAGTGTACCTCCTTTATAGTAGAGACTAATCAAACTCGTGATATAGTGGATTACATCCAAAAACTACCTTTAATAAAATCCATTCGATATAGTAAATTTACTGATAAACTCTCGATATAGTGGATTTTTTACTATTAAATTTTTTTGTTACACTATAAAGAGAGTTACTGTGTACATGGTAGTTTTATGTAAAATTATATTTAGCATTGCATATAATAAAGAACCTGTTTGGAAAATTCAGCAATGGCGCAGTATTTGATGCACCATAGCCTGATTAAAGAAGCAATATGTAAAAAAGTTTTTCGCATAATTTTTGGATAAAAGTTAAAGAATCTTGAAGTTTAATTAATAGATAAAGTTAATCACTTTAAAATTCGAATTATCATTACGTCCAGCTCACCAAGTAAAACGACGAGTCTTGCCTAATTCTCAGTCATTTGTTAGCCAATTAAGTCAGAGAAGTTTTTCAATTGTCTTTAACCATCAGAGGCAGCTCACGGAATCTGAGCTTACTTCATGTGTGAATACGAGAAAATTCACGGTTCTCATTTTAGCATAATACATGTAACTTTTTACTTGATAATTAGTGTTCGGTTGTTCCCCTATTATGTTATCGTACAGATCAACGAAATCATGAGCTTAACGAGATAAATATTTACGCGCCAGAATTATACATTAAAGAACTATACGCTTGTGATTAGTCGACCTTTAACGTTGTTTTGTTCAGTACTTACGTCATTCTCTCTTAGAGAGTCACGCGAATAACAAATACATGTAATTACATAACATTATGAGTCAACAAACAAAAAAAAATCTCTATTTCGCAGTCGCACCACATTTTCAATGAGAGTGCCAAAAAGGCATTTAATAAAATTTTGTTCATTCCGCATCGACTCACCATCATACACCCCCCATTGTTCTTGAGGTTATTGTTCTTGTGCATATATACCTGCAAGTTGTTTTGGTGAACCGAGAGAGAGAGAAAGAAAAAAAAAAAAGAAAGAAAAAAAAAGTTAAATACTCGCACAAACACCATCTACAATTACAAGCATACACATGTACAACGACATAATACGACCGATTGATACTTGGTTTGGTAGCTCATTATCGTCTATTAGTCCGATCCCTATTTACATTCTACATTACATTGCATTGCTGTTTTCGATATAAATTGACATTAATGATGGTGCATTACGCATTCACAGTATATTTCTTTTATTGTATGATAAACATCGATATGTGTGTTGACGACGATAAATATGTTGATGAAAATAAAGATGCAATGCACACCGAGAACAATGGTCCACCTTCATCAGTAACAGCTGCTTCGCTCAATGAAATACTCGAATGAAACCTGTTTCCCTTAATACGAGACCATCATTATTTTTCTCTTTTTTACTGAAATGGCGGTTCAATTTTAACATATGATTTCTTTTTTGCTTTATAACATGAATGTGTCATTGCGTGAGACTTTTTTTTCTCGTAACCTTGATACGATATGCATTTGGCTGAAATGTGATAGTGAAATCAGTCGGTGGTAAGTGCCCGAATGAAACAGCATACCGTTTCGGGTTAGTGAATAAAGAAAGATCGAGAAAAGTGATTATTCGGAAAAATATCGATGCTTTCTTTGCCTTTTTGCATCATCATATTCGAAATAATGCAGTGATGAATGAAGCAGATAAATTCATGTTAATGGATGTTCCCTGCCTCTCGTTTCAAGATGATGAATAAACACCTTCTATTATCATTGACATTTTCATGCACCTTTCACTGCTTCCAGGGAACCTTTATTCCATTTATATTCACATTTACATTCGAGCATGACTTGATTGCACCATATTACAATGCACAAGCATACGATAACTTTACATATTACAATGCCATCGTTTAAAAACCTATCATTATCTCTCATCTCTTTTTATTTCATCAATGTGTCAAAGAAGGAATAGAAAATACGATTTCAATGTTAAATCACAAATTCTCGAGAATTAGCATGCAACTCCATTGTTCTCTGAAACCTACGGGGTTTTTCTTTGTTTTTGTTTTTTGATGTAACTATGACTTTTACTTCTTTTCTTCTTTTTTGGGCTAATGGATTGATAAATCGACCGATGACGGGAAAACAACAAAAACTATGGGACAAAAGTTATGTGAATGTATGCAAAGTCTGTGTTTGTGTAAGAAGAATGTGTGCATACGCAACATGAGGTTGAACAAGAATGCTTGTGTTTGAATAGATAGACACTGTAAATAATCCGGGGAAAATTTCTAATAACCCCACGGGGGAAAAAAGAATGCGTGATGTAATCAATAATGTGAAAATCTGGAGTTCGAGATAATTCTCCAGTCAAACGTGATCGACGTCGTCGTCGATAGACACGTATAACGCGCGTACTAATTCTTTTGAGGAAGATAATATAATGTTCGTTTATTTGCCACCGTTTGAACCAATGGCGATTTTAGAAACCTGCAAAATTTTCACAGGTTTTCCGTGTTTATCTCTGTAATGTTAGTTATGCCAATTAGGTCTGTTATATCGTAAAAGCTTAAGACTAGGAGGCATTTTGGTACGGACACCTTTGAAAAATCTCATGTTTATCGGGTCCCATATAAAGATGGGACCCTAAACTTTTTTTTATTAAGAACTCAAATAACTTCAGCCCACTATCAACTAAAGCTTAAATAATCTCGGTCCCACTTAACTTCGGTCTTATCCCCGTCGGATTACATACCGGTGCTTGAAAATATGTTAATGCTGAACTCGTTTTGATTTGTACGAAAATTCGAAACTTTGACGCAGTATTTGCGACTGCATTATTATTAGCAGGCATGAAAGTGGCGATCATGCAGAAACAAGAATATTAACTTGCATTCGGTTTGCCCGGATTTCACTGAAATTTTTTTAAAAAGTCCGCTATGCCGAATATGCAACCAAGATTGTTACTCCCAAATTTATTTATTCATTGTTGCCTAACATTCAATTCTGAGAAAAAATGTCTTTATATCTTTATATGGTGAATCTCCCTAAAATGCAAGCCCTCGGAACCAAACACTGGCTTGCATTAATAGGGAGGTTGCATTTCAGTACCTAGGTTACCAATAGTTAAATGAAAATTCGCGTATTTTTATCTTTTTGCTATATTCGGGACCTAAAAAAATTATTAATAGTTAGATGAGGTTCACCATAATGATTATCTATCATATATCATGTGAATTTTAGGTTAACCATTGTTATAACGATCATTATATCTCCAATACAATGGCCTTTTTTGGCTATGAAACTTGGGGGTGCATGTGTAAAGAATTACCCGTGATTTAGTTTATCAGCTTGTTGTTTTACTATTGTTCTAAGTTTTTCTTGTTAGTAACATTTAGTTGTAGGGCTTGCTCTGTTTAACTTTTTAAAACAAATAAATGATTGGGAATAATAATGCATGAAAGTGATATGATACTGACTATGAGATACTGACTATGAAAAACTTACTTCCCTATTCGGAATTAATGTGAATAAAATAAAATCCTAAAATTTGATAATAACGATCACTTCTTGTATATTCTTAGTTAACCACAACCACCAAACAGAATAAATCGGTCACAGAAACACAACTTCACAAGCCGCCCCATTCCGCGCCAACTATCAATAAGTACAAAATTATCCAACAAGGTTAAAAAAACATTAAGTATGGGCGTGCATTTGTATGCATGCATACCTGCATTTTTTTACCCTATGTCAATTATCATTGAGTTGATTCCCGCCTTTTTCTGCTATGTATAGTATAACTTTGGAGATAAAGCTTTAACATTAAAATTAATAGAATATCCGGTTTCTTTCTCTCAATAGCCGTATAAAATCGGAATAACATCAAGATGATTTGTCATAATTAATATGTCAGTAAATTGATAAATTAAATTATTCGTCATAATTTTAATTTATTCGTCATAATTTAATTTATTTTTCATAATTTATCAAATAATTAAAAATCACGGAATTAAAATAATAAATTCGATAGACGATTGATTTTTAAAATTGCTCAATTAACAAAATAATTCAATTCTTCAAGATGCAAAAAAATATCTATATCCTAGCAAGTGAAAACTGTCCAATAACCCGGAAAATTATCCTAATTCTAGCAATTTCTGAAAACAATGCGAGGGAAGCACATGAGAATGGTGAATTTACTAGGTCTTGATTCTATCCTTATAAGTTCTTTACCACCTTCCTATTTACTAAAATTGTTGCAATAACAAGTATGGTTGCTTCATGTTCGCTTGTTTTATTATAACATCGATTTCTTTTGTTTTTTTTCTCTGCATTATTAAGGTTGAGCATCGATATACAAGATTCCTCATAAAGTATCTCCCCCCTTTCCACCATTGAATGAAGCTCTGAAACTGTGAATGTGATACTGCGTATTCAATTTCAAAACAAGTATTTTGTAAAGATCCCGGATCCTCTATGCAGTGTTATACGGTACGTGTATTTATTGTGTATCTTAGTAAATGCCCAAAAGATACGTAATCAAGTTTGAGTTCTTGAGAATCGGTTGCCTGTATTCAAAGAACTCATCATCAGCTCATGTCTAGAAAATTTTAGTATGAACGTTTATTAGTGTAGCCTTCAATGTAACGGTCACAAACGAGGTCACAAACGAAGTCACAATAATGGAGACAACAATACAAGATATCGTGCGAAACGAAATACGAAAGACATGCGTGATCAATTTTATCAATCATTTTCTGGTAGACATGCAAACTTTAATTATCTTTCAACACGCTCAACTAATGGCGGCGCTGTTTCAATATTTTACCGTGGTACTTGCTTACGTGTGAGATTAATCGAGAATTATCTTTGAAAAGTCCAGAAACTAGTAACTCGACCTGCTATCAACCTAATATAAGACCAAAAATTTTTAATAATTTCTATTAAATTTAGCCGTACATATATTAAATCAGCACACAACATGTGCTCAGTGCAGTATAATTATTACAACTTGCTTAAAAAACAATTAGTATGCATACATAGTCACTAACCAATCCAGTACACCTATTACCAAGTTTGGAAATTTCCATATTAATTATCACCATTTCAATCAATAATACATCAAAAGATTTCTTTGGGAAATTTCCATTTTAATATTTCTCGACATTTCAATTCCGAGTAACATGTATTCGAGAGAACACATGTGCCAGCTAATTAAAAAGTGAAAATGCTGTATATGGCTGATTCGGATAGCACTGGCCAAAATTATGTCTAAATTTGTGTTATAATAGTGGAATTTTTCATTCGTTTCACTTTCCCTCTTTTTTGGCTCTTCGAGGAGGGACGAAACGTAGGAGGATGAAGTTTGCCGTTTTCTTACCCTGACTATATTTTAGTCACTGCATGTATCCCTATCTTGGAATTTTTGTTAGCTAACTTTAGTGCTCCTACCTTTTTTTATGCTTGTAGTGTATATATCCGCCGATTATGAGTTTACAATAGATGACCAAAATTGGTAAAGTTATAGCGAGGTATTTAACCACATAAAGTATGAATAATAAATAAAAAACAAACGCGTCCGCCTCTTAAGTAAGAATCTGCTTAAGTAATATCAGGTGAGCTTTTTTTTTGGGATTAATTGATTTTTCCAGATTTCGATTTTGTCGCGCGTTTTTTTAATATGAAACTCCATTTTCACGTTCCCACTAAACTTTAATTGGTCGAAGCACGCCGACATTGTTTGGCTATTGTCTCTCTTTGCATAAAAAACAGATCAACAAGAAAACCGGTTTAGGTGCAAGAACAATGGAAAAAAAGGCAGCAGTTTTAAGTGACGCTTGATGACGATGAATGCTATCATCGAGTTTTGCTTGCATTGGAGATTTTCATGGTGTGATGTGATTTGAAGAAGTGTTTGTATAACTTTTTGACATCTCTTTTTAACTCTACAATGCATTATAATATGATAAAATGGAGAAAAATTGACAACTCGTGTATACATATTTAATATAGATATATTATATAATATATAATATATATATATATAGATATATAGATATATACATATCCATATTAATCTATCCGATATATATAAAAATATACATATATACATACACACATTATATACATATTCCATCTCAATTGTCAGATACCGTTTCAGGCTATAAACACTATAAGCTGTGTGTGTGATATAGACTGCTCGAATATTGCATGGCAAAATGTTTCATGTTTATGCATGAGAATCTTTCTGAATGATCAAAGGATAATTCATTCTGTCATTATATGCTACGCCAACTCAAGTCATTGATTTGTCTATACGAATTACAATGATATAGCAAAATAAAACATCAAGAGTGTTAGAGCCAATATTTCTAAACAGGTTCATTTCAATTACCATGAAAGTAATTTCATTGGCCCTAATTTGTCTTCAGATTAATAATTTCTGGGCAGCAACCAATCGCATGATTAAGATTTCTTTCGGAACAAAATGCCAGCAATCAAAATTGCTTGCATACCTTGTGAATGGAATATTTCTTACTGTTATTCCTTATCGAGAAGATTATTGTCGGTCTCCAATTTTTGTGTCTTATTCATTAAGGTTTTTTTTAAGTGGCAGAATTTATGTGCTATTCTTCTAGAAGAACGCTTAACAAGTTCTTTGATGTATATATTCGGTAGGCAATTCAGTGTTGACTATATAAAGAAAGTACAGTTATATGCATGTACTCAGTAAATCTCGATATAACGGATGGAGTTTAGACACTTTTGAGAAAAATGTCAAAGGTCTGTTATACTGGTATATCGAATAGAGTTTTATACAAACTGCTTTGGAACTCAATCTGTCGTATCAAGATACTAATTAATCTCCGTTACATCGAGCATTGAGGTTCATTGTGCATTCTCTTATTATCAAAAAATAAAAAATAAAAAACTCTATTCACACAAACGAATTTTTATGTGAAACTTGCAGTAGTTATATAGTTATATAATCATCATACACATGATTATATATCACTTGACTAATGTCGAAATCTGATATAGTAGTCATGATTATGGTAATGCATGGCTATTGTTAAAAAAATGATGAAATGTTTAGGGTCATGATCGTAGTGAAATTTACCAGTGTCAAATAAATTCGAATTAATTTGTAGCGATAAATGGACTAGCGAAAATAAAGTTATCGACAATCACAATCCAATAAGAGAATGCGATAAAAATAATGGGTTATTCGAATGGATTTCTTTTGAAAAATTTCCCGATGCTATTGAATATCTTGGGAAGAAGGTTTTTGGGACAATTTATAAAGCAACTTGGCTTGTTGGATAGACCAATCTATTAGGTGGGATCATGATGGAAATAAATTTAAAATGATTTGATGAAGACCAAGTTGTATTAAAATCATCACACGATTAAAGCAAATTTATTCCGGAATTTATAAACGAGGTAAAAACTACGGTGAAAGTTGCATTTGTTTTCTAATGCGATCAAAATCTTCAAAAATACTCGGATTGCTTTGATACATATGGTTAAATTTATTACCGTTATTGAAAAAATGAATACATGTGCTTGATGTTTAAGATGACGATCTTTGCAATATCGATTATTAATCAAATATTTTGGACTAAGCATTCCCATACATATAAAAAATCCAACCAAGAAATTGGTGGCGTATTTCCTTATAAGATTCCAAATAGAAAGCCATATACTGATGTCGCAGATATTTATAGATTTGGGGTTATGAACGAAATTGTGTTTACAGGTGAATGACTATTTGGTGTATTTAAACATACTACCTATTACTATTGGATGAAGCAAATTTATTTTTAAAAATGTTCTTATTTCAGGAAAACAAGTCAACCGCTGGGTAATTTAAAGGGGTTTATCAGCTCTATTCATATTGAATGTTCACAAAATTCGGTCATATGGTCAAGATATTATATATATACATCTAATGATTGATGAACAACATAATGGGTATATTTTTATCTACTTCTTGACTTGAAAAGTATAACAGTTCGTCTCACGTATCTTAAAACCATAGTCTCTATAGATGCGATAATTCAATTCAGTAAAAAAAAAATCTGCAGAACTTATTTTTAATGTATATGTCATGAGTTGGAATTTGTGTTGATTTAGAATAACTTTCAAACATTAATTATCAATATTAGTATGTATGTAGCTATTATTAAGGATTTTAATTTTATTTAGAAACATAATATATTCTTTCTAGTAAGACTAAAATACCTAAATTTTTTATTATTATCATTTTTGTCAGTATATAATATATTTAACCAATATTGGTAAAGTTGCATTTGTCAGGTATACAATATATTTAACCAATGTTGATAAAGTTACATTTTTGCAGTATATAATATATTTAACCAATATTGGTTGGTAAAGTTACATTGAATTTATTAATATCCATTTCGGAATCAACACACATATATTCTGTTCCAACTCATGACATATATATTAAAATCAATATTTTAATTTAGTGTCCACTTAGTAGAAAATTATACATATTTTCACGTGACTTGACGTGAATGCAATGATCTTTGAAAATTTCTTGAACTTGGGTTGATTGTCAGTGCGATATTCTTTGACCCTGGTCAAATGCTTTTATATCACTCATCCTTTCACACCTAGAATAAAAATAGAAAGTAACAATTATTCCCGATTTAACTAGAAGATTTATATAAATGGGAATAATTAATAATCATCATGTCAAAAGTTTGTGCAATCGTGATCTAGAGACTAGTTCAACCCATTTTTACAATGACAACAACCACATCATATCGGTGCTGTTGCTTTAGTTAACCCAAACTCGTCAACTTCACCGACGGTTGATGCAGGTATAAACTTTTGACAGATCTAGAAAAGATTATTCAAAGGGTGAATATAGATTTCTGACGCTAATGAGTCTTTTTGTGCATATGTGATTTCTTTGTGACAGAACCCCTCCCCCCACTCGTATATTCAATTATAACAATTTTATTTATTATACGGTACATTTGACATTACTTTTGCTCGTATCTTAATGATTTACATTTTATAGGGGTTTGCATTTCTGGAAACTCATATTTAATAAAGCTACATATATATATATATATATATGTATGTATATACATATATATATGTAGCTTTATTAAAATACTTGACGTTAATAATATTATTTATATTATTTATATATAAATACATGTGTGTGTGTGTGTGTGTGTGTGTATATGTATTGTTATTTTTTATATATTTACGTAAGTAAATGCATGTATTTATCGTTATCTACGAACGAAAAAAATAAAACTATCCTTATTCAAATATTGATTCGTATGTGACGTCAAAAAGTCATATGAATCGTACTTAAGGAAATATTTCTTCAAATGGGAACCTAAAAATTCATTGTAGTTACCTATTAAGTCCCCGTGCTTGGGACCAAAGCGTAAATAAATTACTCATTTCATTTGGGTATGAATGAAACATGGATTGGACGACTAAAATAACTGCAGATATTGTTTGCTTCAAACGAAATTAAAGAAAATTACCACAGTTTTGAATCACGAGTCTAGGATCACACATTAAGAGTTGGTAATGCATGCCATCAATGTTGTTCTCAAAAATTTGAAATATCTACTTACATAAGAAAATAAATCTTGGAGAAAATAATTTTTTGTTGCGTCTTGTCCTCGACCGTTGATGTATGATAATAGAGCATGCTAAAATTTATTGGTTCGAGCTCAAATGTTTTTATTTTATTTTTAATATAAGAAATGCGTACATAATTAACAAATATTCATAATAAATTTCATTAATGCAACCAAAAATTCATTTGTGATTCGTTCTAGTTGACGTCATAGATTCGCAGCTTTTTTAATGCTTTCTTTGAGTCTTTTTGTCATTAATATTAACGTTTTGACATGCTTTGTTATCTTTGTTCGAGTGATTATTTTTAGCAAATCATGAATATAAATCATAGGAATAAAATGATTTTTCACAGAATCACCCAACACAAATACCAGTATCAGTGTTGACGACACTTTCAAGACTCAAAAAGTTATCAATAAAAAATAGCTATTTTAAGACGCATCTCTTTTCTAGGTTTTGTTTGTTTTCTTTTAAAGGGAATGAATGTTATAGGTTCATTTTTTCGATGTTAACAAAAAATTAGCATGTTTTCTTTATTATTTGCGTACACTTGACTGAAATATCGATTGTGTAATATTGACATACTATATGGTACATAAACATAAACTTTTAAAGCTTTTTAAGTTCTATAATACAAAATGAACAGAACAACTTAAATTATAAGATTTATTTGGTAAAATTTATTATTATTGAATTTGAATCATGATAAATGATTTGTTATCGAGTTCATCAAAACCTTTATTGGAAATTATGCGTAGGATTAGTGAAAGAGATGTTATTTGCAAGAAAGAACTAAATTACGTTCTTTTTTGGTTATAAAATTGAGTGTCATTGGATATTTTTATGTCATTAAACTCATTATCCACCAAAAGAACCCCATTTTTATCATAAAGATAACCATATATGGCAACATTCTGATCTTGCAAAATTTCTCATACTAATAAATTTTTCATGTGGAAATAAATGATCTTAACGTTTCATTTATTATCATTATATGACCTTTCTCGGTAAATTTTTGCTTTCATATTTTCTCCGTCAGACCAATAGTCATGAAAAAATTTTTCCACATTCTTTATTCCAATGTTAAAATAACTATCATATATATTTAATAATTTTATCTTCATTTGCTTTGTTTGATACATAAAAACTGACGTTTGTTGCATATCATATTTTTGTGGTTAAATATTCTAATGTCCAGTTTTCTGCAAATGCAGAATTTGCGAAACACATATGAACCAAAGATATTGAATTGAAGATTTAGGTAAACTCAAAAATTAAAATGGGAAGATGTAAAAAGAACGTCCGGTAAAATTATTAGAATAAGTTCAGAATACCATTTTCCCTTGTTAAAATATGGTATGCGAAAGTTCCATAGTTGATACCATAAAACATCAAAGAAACTGAGAATAAATCTATTTTTATTATTCCTTCTCGTCGCTTGCTTTTGAATTAGCTTTGAAAAGAAGAGCAACAAGTAAAGGGATAACAGTATTATATACATCGTTAAATAATGTGTTTTGATTTTTTATCTACGAAATTGGGTAAGGTGTCGTTCTTATGATTTCTTCTTTGTAACAAAGCCTGCGAACAAGAAGACAATTTATGACAAGGATTATTTGATTCAACTAAATCGAATTTTGTATTTAACTTATCAATGCCTTTGAACATTAACTCTTTATGATGTGTGTATACAAAAAATTCAATAAGGATTACTTAATTTTGCATATGCATGTGCTACGTATTTGAGACCCATCTGAGGTTTTTAAAGAATTAAATACCAAGAAGAAATTGAGGCCTGTTGCTGAGAGTACATCCATATAGCTTTTTCAATCCATCTTTATCAACAACTATTACTCTTGCTGGTAGTTTTTCTGACGAAATATTATTATTGAGGTTACGATAGCAAGCAAAAACTAGACATAACTTTGTCTCATCTAAATTTAATCGACCGATGCCGCTATTTTTTTTAGTTCCACCTAAGGAAAAAAAAGAATATATAATATGATGTCAATTTGTCAATTTAACTCAAAAAGCTGTTAATCATACCAGAAAAATGAGCACGAAATTCTGCTAAAGTCATTTCCCATTTTTGCTTAATTTCACTAAGACCGCAACTAGTTTTTGATTTCGGGTCGGAAAATCGAAGTTCTATAGCTGTAACAACCTTGGAAGCTGCTGGTGTTTGTTGCACAACCACACCAACATCAAATCCACGATTATTATTTGCTGGTAGATACACGAATTCGAGGTCGGGAGTGAATGTATTATCTTGAATATCAAAATTTCCGGGCCAGTGATGTCCAAGATTAACCACCTTGCATTTTCGAGGCATGAAATGGAACGCTTCAGGATTGAATTCATTAGCGTTATATTGAATGCTCGTGTTATAAAAACTGCTGAGCGAAAAAGAATTATATTTATAATATCCGTCTTCAACAAGGATTGCCAGGATAGTACGCTTTAGAGCTTCCCAACCAGCGTGAACCTTTTCAAATGATTCGAAATAGCAATTTTGTTCAAATCCAGCATATCTGACAAAATAAGAGCAATCAAACCATCATTTCCCTCACAGTTCTTACTCGTGCGTGCGAATCGAAACAAGGCTATCGGAGAGATGTTAGGAATGAATGTGTCTCCATATGTGAGCGAGTTCATATACGATCCTTCTGTTATCAAATCAGTGTACGTTTTCTGAAGCTTATAGCCATATTTCTCCGGACCGACCCTCTGATTAAGGATAGCTGGGATAATTTGATACAGTGTCGGTGTCAATCCCATTCGTGATACCCGTTCAATATCTGCTAATAGATCATTCAACATCCGATGGTAACACTCAGAAGGTCCCCACTTGTGCTGTGTGATCTCTTCTGCCAAGATTTGAAGTGTGAGGGGATGACCATTGCAGTCGTTCACCAACATTTGAAACGCTTTATTTAGATATTTTTCTTACGGGAAGAGTATTAATCCATTAATTGGTTTCAGCGGGATCCAATTAATCGATCGCCCAGATTTTATGGCAGACATTCGAACTCCAATGTGGTAACGATGGATGAAAATGAGGCCATCGTGTTGGAATTACCGTCAATTGCTGTGAGACTTGTATTAATCTGAGGTTCAAATTGGCCATCTTTATAACAGCACTTTATAAGTTCATCCAATAACAAGAAAATGCGACATGGCTTTTGACTTCCATCTAAATTGATATTTGGTTGATAACTCAAGATGCACTCAGAGGCAATTCTCAAAGTTAAATAATTGACATCGTAGTTTTGACCCATTCACTCCCTATGTATTCATGTTCAAAAAAAAACTTCAAATACAAGAATTAATGAAGGTTCGAGAAACCGAAAGGAACTATAAATTATAAGCAAATACTCACGAAAAAAGCATTAGAAATGCAACACCAGCCTCAGGATTTTTGTCATCAAATGACGTCTTAGAAGTTCGTGAAATGTAGGTAATAGGAACAACTACAGTACGATTCAAAAGCTCATCTAGAAATTGGTTTCGTTCTTCCGGTGTAATATGAATATTAAGCTCAGCCGAAACATCACTGGGTAAAGTAATACGGAGGATGTTGTCGGCCCATTCCTTTTTGTCACAATCACCAGAGCGAGAGGCTAGGCATAATTCTGCAATGGCATCAAGGAAGAACGATTTTCCAGAGCTGGGTGGCCCGTGTATCGTATTGAGTTTATTAATACTTCGTTTTTCGAATTCCTTTTCAGACAGCCTGTGTCAATATCGTAATCAGCGTCAACAACCTCTTAACTTCTTTACCAGAAACCTCTTACAGTAGTGGTCAAAAGTATCCTACCCCCTATAACTTTTTAAATTGAAGATTAATTGTCTTGAAATTTTCAGTATAGATAAAATAATATAAATCTAGATCCTATGAGTTTTTTTAATATGTTTTAATTATTATAGCAAAATATAAATGAGAGCTGAATTTTAAAATCAATTTTTTACATTAATAAA